CCTCTTAGTGCCCATTTGTTCGCAATCGGGGGGCAAAAGTGGCGAAATCTGCGAACTAAACTAACCCCGACTTTCACCTCCGGGAAAATGAAACAAATGTTTCAGACTTTAATCGACTGCACGCCTGGTTTAGTCGACCAAATCGATTCGTTTTGTCTCGAAAAGGAATCAATTGATATTAAGGAGGTTTTGGGGTGTTTTACCACGGATATCATCGGGTCGTGTGCTTTCGGGCTGGATTTCAACACCTCSAASGAGAAAAAYTCCCCKTTTCGGGAGTATGGACGCAAGGCTTTCGTCCCCACGAAATTCGATATAATTAAAATGATTCTTGCGATGAGTTTCCCCCGAGTTGCACGCGCCCTTAGGTTAACATTGACYMRAAAAGACRTTTCGGATTTTTTCCTCAAWGTGGTGAAAGATACAGTWGAATACCGGGAGAAAAATAATTACAGACGCAAGGATTTTATYCAATTGTTGATCGATTTGAGGGAGGATGAGGGGCAACATGACGGGAAAACCCTCACAATTGAGGAAATCGCGGCTCAATGCTTTGTTTTCTTCATCGCCGGTTTTGAGACTTCTTCCACAACAATGACTTTTGTTCTTTACGAATTGAGTCGAAGGCAGGACTTGCAAGAAAAACTCAGGGATGAAATTAACACAGTTTTGGGTAAATATGACGGTCATGTGACATACGAAGCAATCCAAGAAATGAAATATATGGACCAAGTCATAAATGAGGCTTTAAGGATGCACCCCCCAATCCCCATTCTGACCCGGACATGTGTTAAAGATTACAAAATCCCCGATCAAGACATCATTATTGACAAAGATACCACAATTGTTATCCCAGTTTTGCCAATCCATTATGATAAAGAGTATTATCCTGAGCCTGAGACCTTTGATCCTGAGAGGTTTAATGAAGAGAATAAGAATTCAAGGCATAGTTATGCCCATATTCCGTTCGGTGAAGGACCAAGGATTTGTATAGGGATGCGTTTTGGGCTAATGCAGACCAAAGTTGGGTTGACAACCCTGTTGAAAAATTATAAATTTACGGTTGGGAAAAAAACACAGGAGCCTTTGAAGTGGAAAGTTGTGTCGTTTGTTTTGGCCGCTGAAGGGGAAGTTTGGCTCGATGCTGAAAAGTTGTAATTTTTTATTATCTCATCAGTTTTACTCTCTAGTCTGTTTCTTTGCTGTGTTTTTGTTATTAAAAAATATTTAAGCAACATTTGTTTTTGATTTAAACTTATACTTAGTTATTACTATTTATAGTTCTTTTGTATCATTTATAAAAAAAATATATCAGCTGCTAAGATGTTAAGAAATACTTTGAAAATTTTCCATTTTAAGGTTCTTTAGTTTAATTTTAATGACTATTTTTTACGAATGTAATTATACATTGTTTAAAAAAATAATCACGCCGGATTATAAATATTATTTGTGATAATAATTTTTCGTGATAATTTTTTAACTAGATTTACACACATCCTTGTTGATATATTGCAACAAAAATTCGTGTATCTTGTTAAAATTATCAAAAAATTATCATCACTTATGTAATTTCTGTTGTTCTGTTGAAAATAAGTTAAACCAAAATTTCATTTTCTGAAACCTAAGGGTTTTTATACAACTTTAAGCAATAATATTTCAAACATTTTTGGCATTTTTTTAAAAGTGTATTAGGAAAATTGTAAAAACTTATTTTTTTAATTTGATTAAGGCAAGAAATCAAAATTATGAGAAAAATTACGTTGTTTTTGAATTTTTTGTGCGTTTACGCAGGTTCTTTTTTTTTTTTTTGTTTAAAACCAACAAAAAATACTAAATTGGGTAAAATCTAGTGTTTATTTTGTCTTTTTTAAACATTTAAGAAAGTTTTTCAAAAATTTTGTAGAATTGTCGATATTTTAAATTACTTTATTTTTACCATTTTCTATTAAGCAAAATGTCGTCAAAAATAAAGCAAGCTAAAAATGGCGTTATTTTTGTTTTTTGAGCGTTTAAGCAATTTTTCAAAAATTTTGTAATATTTTAAACATTTAAAATTAAGTCAAAAATGCTACATTGTTTTAAGCTTTCTATAAAACCTTTTTCAGACTGAAACATAATAAAATTTTGTCAAAAATAAGACGTAAAATAAAATAGTCTAGTTTTTGTTTTTTGCAAGCATAAAATTTTGCAAACTAAAAATTCTGTTTTTTTGAGAGATTTTGCAAAACTGAGCGCAAAAATAACTACTCTTGGTAGAAAATAGTAATATTTTTGTTTTTTTTAACCTTTAAGCACATTTTATGTTAAAAATTCAGTTTCGTCGCAAAATTGTGTAGCAACTGATCAAAAAATCACTAAATTATAATAACAAGTAACGCAAAAAGAATATAAAACACAGTACATGAAATCAAAAAAGCTTTTATAATTTTAAATTATTTTCACAAATGTAAATTTTACAAAGTAACATCGTGTAAACATGAAGCTCTCGAAAGCCATGTTTTAACATGTTTCAAGTTTTTGATTTAGATTCTAGTTTTAAATAAGTAGGTGATATTAAATGCACAGTTATTTTAACAGTTGCATACCAACATTAAATAACAAGAGTAAGCTTGTATTTGATCAAAACAAATAGAGATAACAAATGTTTCGTTTCTCTTTCCGTCTAAAAATACTACTGTTTATACAATTAAGCCGAAATTATACAAGATTATACTTATCTCATCTCCTAATTCATCATTTGCTAGTGTCATTGAAACCAACAATAAAAACAGTCGTGTGCATCACTGTACAGGTTAGCAACACATTATTATAAAACTAGAAATAAAATTTCACTTTACACAGAAATGTTTTTTGACTTGGTGGGCGTCTCCGTAGCTTTCTTAACCATCCTCTTTGCTTACTTCAAATGGCGCTACCAGTACTGGGGGCGAAAAAACGTCCCTTTCCTCCCTCCTACAATCCCTTTTGGCAATTCTAACATTTTCCGGCGTAAGGAAAACGGTGCTGTGCGTTTTAAAAAATTCTACGACGAAATGAAATCCCAAGGGTGGAAACACGGAGGTCTCTACACCATCCTCACACCCAGCTATCTCGTGATCGACTTGGACTATTTGAAAAATATTATGACCAAAGATTTCGAGTATTTCACCGATCGTGGGTTTTACTACAACGAGAAGGACGACCCTCTTAGTGCCCATTTGTTCGCAATCGGGGGGCAAAAGTGGCGMAATCTGCGAACTAAACTAACCCCGACTTTCACCTCCGGGAAAATGAAACAAATGTTTCAGACTTTAATCGACTGCACGCCTGGTTTAGTCGACCAAATCGATTCGTTTTGTCTCGAAAAGGAATCAATTGATATTAAGGAGGTTTTGGGGTGTTTTACCACGGATATCATCGGGTCGTGTGCTTTCGGGCTGGATTTCAACACCTCCAAGGAGAAAAACTCCCCTTTTCGGGAGTATGGACGCAAGGCTTTCGTCCCCACGAAATTCGATATAATTAAAATGATTCTTGCGATGAGTTTCCCCCGAGTTGCACGCGCCCTTAGGTTAACATTGACCAGAAAAGACGTTTCGGATTTTTTCCTCAATGTGGTGAAAGATACAGTAGAATACCGGGAGAAAAATAATTACAGACGCAAGGATTTTATCCAATTGTTGATCGATTTGAGGGAGGATGAGGGGCAACATGACGGGAAAACCCTCACAATTGAGGAAATCGCGGCTCAATGCTTTGTTTTCTTCATCGCCGGTTTTGAGACTTCTTCCACAACAATGACTTTTGTTCTTTACGAATTGAGTCGAAGGCAGGACTTGCAAGAAAAACTCAGGGATGAAATTAACACAGTTTTGGGCAAATATGACGGTCATGTGACATACGAAGCCATCCAAGAAATGAAATATATGGACCAAGTCATAAATGAGGCTCTAAGGATGTACCCACCAGTCCCCATTCTCAGCCGGAAATGTGTCAAAGACTACAAAATCCCAGATCAAGACGTTATTATTGACAAAGATACCACAATTTTTATCCCAATTTTGGGAATCCATTATGATGAGGAGTATTATCCTGAGCCTGAGATCTTTGATCCTGAGAGGTTTAGTGAAGAGAACAAGAATTCAAGGCATAGTTATGCCCATATTCCGTTCGGTGAAGGGCCAAGGATTTGTATAGGAATGCGTTTTGGGCTAATGCAGACCAAAGTTGGGTTGGCAACCCTGTTGAAAAATTATAAATTTACGGTTGGGAAAAAAACACAGGAGCCGTTGAAGTGGAAAGTTGCGTCGTTTGTTTTGGCGGCTGAAGGGGAAGTTTGGCTCGATGCTGAAAAGTTGTAATTTTTATTGTCTCATCAGTTTTACTTTCTAGTTCTATTTCTTTGTTGTTTTTGTAATTTTAACTTAATTTTATTTTAATTACGATTTACATTTCTTTTGTGTTTGTTACAAGGAAATTATATCAGCTGCAAACATGTTAAGAAATTTTTTATAATTTTTTTTCCTTTCAAGGTTCGATTTTAATAAAAAATAATCACATCAAAATTTATTTTTTTTTAATTTTAAAGTTTTTAACTCCACGGTTTTTATACAGTTTTAAGCAATTTTTTAAAGACTATTAAAAAAATGATAAAAACTACATTTCTTCACTTGTTTAAGCACACTTAAATGCAAAAATTACAAAATTTAGGTCAAAAATGTCGCTGTTTTCGAGTGTTTTCAACCAAGAGCGCAAGTTTTTGTTAAAATCCACTTAAAAATACTAAAGTACCTTGCAAATAGTAATTATTTTGTCCTTTTTTGAGCGTTTAAGCAAGTTTTACGAAAATTTTTCAAAATCATTAGTACATAATAAATTAGGTAAAAATGCCACTATTTTTACCAGTTTTTTTGAAAGTTTTAATACGTTTTTAGTCAGATACGCAATTATTAAGTCAATTTTTATCAAAAATAAGTCAACAAGTCATGAAATTAAGTCAAAAATAGTGTAGATTTTGCCTTTTTTCAGAACGCTATAATTTATAAATTGAGTTTTTCAGCGAGATTTTGCTAAATTTTGCACCAGGAGCGCAAGTTTTTATTAAAAACCACTTAAAAACACTAAATTACCTTGAAAATAGTGATTATTTTGTCTTTTTTGCGTTTAAGCAAGTTTTCTAAAAATTTAGCAAAATTGAGTACATGACGTATTTTAAATTAGGTCAAAAAATGCCATTGTTTTTACCATTTTTTGAAAATTTTAAAACGTTTTTGGTCAGATACGCAATTATTAGGCAAATTTTTGTCAAAAATAAGTCAATAAACCATCAAATTAAGTCGAAAATAGTGCAGTTTTTGTCTTTTTTCAAGACGTTATAATATAGGAATTGTGTTTTTCATCGAGATTTTGCGCAAGTTTTTATTAAAACCCACTTGAAAACACTAAAATTGTTAGTATATGACATATTTAAAATTAGGTCAAAAATGCTAATATTTTTATAATTTTTTGACAATTTTCATACGTTTTTAGTCAGATACGCAATTATTAAGCAAATTTTGGCAAAAATAAGTCAAAAAATCATCAAATTAAGTCGAAAAGAGTGTAGTTTTGTCTTTTTTCAGGACACTGTAATCTAGAAATTGAGTTACTTAACAAGATTTTGCTAAACTGGACACAAACATAACTAAATTAGATAAAAAGTGACATTATTTTTGTTTTGTGTTACGTCTTTAAGCACATTAGTTATTTAAAAACACTCAGTTTTTTCGAGAAATTTTATTAAGAATTAGTAAATTATGTTAAAAATTATATTAAAAACATAAATATTTTCTTAAATTTCAGAAATATATAAAAAAGTCATCAATTTAAGTGTTATTTTGTCTTTTTCACGCATTGAAGCATTTTATCAAGCTTAAAAATTAAAATTTTTCTAAGATTTTACTATAGGGCAAAAAATTACAAAATATACTCAAAAACGACGTTATTTTTGTTTATTTTATAGTTTTAGTATAATATTTTAGGATATTCTTTAATTTTATGCAACACTTTGAAAATCTTCATTTTTCTGAAATGTATTTTGGATTAATTTTTAGTTAATAAAAGCTCACGTTTCTTGATTTTTGATTACCAAAGTTTGTTTAATAGCACCCGAGATAATTTTCTTGATAATTATTACGTGCATTATGAGTTACAAAGAAACGACATTAAAATCGCAAATAACACAAACATTTCGTTAGTCCAGGAATTGTAACAATGGTAAGTGCCACTTACTTGAACAATTTTTCACCAGAAAAATAGATACTTTTCAGCACAGTTCTACTCTTTGTAATCCTAACTGTAAAATTTTACTACAAATGGAAATTCAATTATTGGCGCCGTAAAAAAATCCCGACTTTGCCCCCTAAAATCCCTTTCGGCAACCTCCCCAACCCCTTGAAACAGCAGGAAACAACCGGTGTCCACATTAAACTGCTATATGACCAAATCAAAGACAACGGCTGGAAACACGCAGGTTTATATTTTTTGACACGCCCTGTATACATGGTAGTGGATTTAGAGTACGTGAAAAATATCCTCACTAAAGATTTCCAACATTTCGTCGATCGTGGATTTTATTTCAACGAAAAAGACGATCCAATTAGTGCCCATGTGTTTGCAATCGGGGGCCAAAAATGGCGAAATTTGCGAACAAAACTCACCCCCACTTTCACCTCCGGGAAGATGAAACAAATGTTTCAAACACTCCTCGAATGTAAAACGAGTTTATTGAAAAGAGTCGACAAAGAACACCAAACTCCGATTAACATTAAAGAAATTTTGGGCTGTTTCACCACTGACATCATCGGGTCGTGTGCTTTTGGTCTTGATTGTAACACTTTTAAAGAGGAAGATTCGCCGTTTCGAAAATACGGGAAGAAAGTCTTCGAGTCGAATCTCCGACGAAGACTCCAAATCTTCTTCTTCACCCATTTCCCGTCGCTGGCGCGGGCTTTAAAAGTGCGCCACTTCTCCAAAGACGTTGCTGATTTCTTCACCAAAGTGGTGAAAGACACTGTTAATTACCGCGAGGAGAATAATTACACCAGGAAAGACTTTATGCAATTATTAATCGAGTTGAAAAACAGCAAAACTGGTTTGACTCTAGACGAAATCGCAGCTCAAAGTCTTATTTTTTTCTTGGCCGGTTTTGAAACCTCTGCAACCACCATGACTTTTGCTCTTTTCGAACTTGCCAAAAACCAAGAAATTCAACAGAAAGTGAGAGAGGAGATTGGGGTAATTTTAGGAGACGACAAAATCACATACGAGGCTCTACAAAAAATGAAATTCTTGACCCAAGTAATAAATGGTAAGTCAAGAATGTGATATTTTTTTATTTTTGCAGAAACTTTAAGGAAATACCCTCCATTGTCCTTCCTCACACGTGAGTGTGTCAAAGATTACAAAATTCCAGATCAGGATGTGATTATCGAGAAAGGGACTAAAGTTGTAATTTCGATACTAGGACTCCACAGAGATGAGGATTATTTTCCTGATCCTGAAAAGTTTGATCCTGGGCGTTTTTCGGAGGATAATACCGGGTTTCGGGACCAGTTTGCGTATATTCCGTTCGGGGAAGGTCCAAGAATTTGTATAGGTACAAAAGTGTTTATTTTTAGATACTTTTAAAGAGTTTTTCCTACGACCCTAACAAAAAGTAAGTTTTTCCACCCTAATGTCAGAAAGAAAATTGGTAAATTTTGAAACTAAAATATCACAAGAAATTGTTAGTTTTGAAGTTTTTCCTGCTGGATTGTAGGAAAAATTAATGTACATTTTCCTCTCTTGTAATACAAATATCTATTACAGGTTTAAGGTTTGGGATGATGCAAACTAAAGTCGGATTAGTTTCTTTGTTGAGGAAATTTAAATTTACAGTAAATAGGAAGACAAGAGAACCAATAAAATTTGACGTTAAGGGTTTTATATTGGCTGCAGAGGGCGATATTTGGCTCAATGCTCAAAAAGTGTGCTAATTTTTTGTAATTTTCAATAAAACACTTAAATTATTCTTTTATCGCATTTTTTGACAAAAAAACCTATTCATATGTTGGAAAAAAAATTGAAAAAAATTAAAATATTGGATTTTGACGTTTCAGAACCTTCTTAAGGTTTTAAAGACACGCCCCAATGCGTTTAACATATCTTAAGTCAATGGAATTAAAAAATATATTGATTGACTTCCGCGTTTTCATATAAAATTGCTTTTAAATTTCAAACATATTTTTATTTTTTGGAGGGTTTTAGTTGGTTAGTTTAGAGAGAAACGGGTTAAAATTTTGATAATAAATTTATTAACAAAAAGAAATTTTGAATTTTTGATTATTTTTTTTGATAAATTTCCCAAAATTGACAATATTTTATGTAAAATTGTCTGGAAATTTTGAAAATGCGAAATGTTTTGCATAGGACTAACAGATTTTGAGTAATGATTTTTTTATTGTACTAAAATTAAATATTTATTTAAAATATTTATTTAAAAATTTGTTTTAATAACAATGACCTTGACGTGCAATTTCCGTCTCTCCTCTCTTTCAAAATAAACAGAGATATCTTTATAATATTTTAAGCAAAATCCAATTTTTCAACATGAGGTATTTTACAGAAAATATTATGATACGTTACAAAATGCGATGAAATATTAAATAAATAATTTTACATATAATTATGTATAAAATTATAATTTTATCAAATGAAGTGTTAATTACGACTTCTGAAAGGGTCGTCATCTTAGGTAAATCAATCTGTAGGTACGTATTTTCTACTTTATTTAAGTTTGTACAAAAAAGTGTTTGCAATAAAGTAAACTGATTATTATTTCTAGAAGTTATTCTTTATGAGAGTTTTTAAATTCCTATTTATAAAACAATTTTGTAGACTTTTAACTTAAAAAAAATAAATGCAAAGTAAATTTTTATGTAACTTTTGTTCAAAAAGTAAGATTCTACAAAAGCGCAAAAAATCTTTGTGGATTGAGTGAAAAGTATTTTTCCAAGTTTTTTTTACAAATCTCATAAAAATTGTTTTAAAATACGGTTTTTTGATCAAAAATTTTACCACTTGCTAAATAACCAAACGCAGATTTTGGTCGTGTTTTAAGTCCTGCTATAAGTTTTATAGTTTTTGAAAAAATTGCGTTTAAAATATTGGAAAATTAAAGTTTGCTGTTTTATTTTAAATAAGAGATTAGGGTATAAAAATCTATAGTTAAATTTATAGGTGTCAAAAACTAAATCTAGTCACAATTCCAACAAAACGCAACGAATATTTTAAAATTTCAAAAATTTTCAATTCTCTAAAGAAATTCAAAGTTTTTGGTTAATTTTAAAGAATTACTAAATTTCTATGCAAGTTTGGCTTCCAAGACGATGATAAAATTAAACACCACTTCATAGATAATAACTAAACGCAAATTTCAATACTGTTTTACCTAGTTTTGCTATACTTAGACCTTAGTTTTCAAAAAAAAAAAAACGCTTACAAAGTTTCGCAAATTATTATTTTTTTTGTAATCATCGAACACTATAGTGAAATCTACATGTAAATCTAGTCACAATTTCAAGAAAAAGCAATTTGCTACAAGTTTTTTAATGTCATCTATCTAAACCACGCAAAAATCAATTAAAGCGTCTTTAATGACACGGACAGATTTTAATCATTCTATTTTTAAAGACAGATAAAATGAATTTCATTTTTATGAAGCTGTTTAAACTTGCTTAATCATTTCCCCAATTTTAATCATAACTTATAATAACAGTTTTCTGCAATGATATTGACCTTGACATCCGGTTTTCGTCCCTCCTCTCTTTCAAAATAAACAGTCTTTACCTTGTAACATTTCAAGAAGAAACCATAACAAGATATTTTACAGAAAATGTTTTGTCACGTTGTAACAAATGATGCAAAATTGCGATAAGATATTAAATAAATAATCCTATATATATAATTTTATCAAGTGAAGTGTTGTGTATTCACTAACGGTAAGTCTTGTTATTTCACTGTTTTAAACTAAATTTCAACAAAATTCTAGATGTTTTCAAATTGGGGTCTTTTGACCGACCTTGTCGGTGTTATAATCGCCGCTTTCGCCATCATTATCGCTTATTACAAATGGACTTTCGGGTATTGGAAGCAAAAAAACATCCCTTACTTCCCCCCTAGTATCCCCTTCGGCAACTTGGAGAATCTTTTTACAGCAACTTCAAACATAGGTGTCCAAGTGAAACATTTCTACGACGAAATGAGACACAATAAGTGGAAACATGGCGGTTTGTTCTTTTTGGCCAACCCCACTTACGTGGTGGTCGACTTGGAGTACGTGAAAAATGTGTTAACCAAAGATTTTCAATATTTCGTCGACCGTGGGGTTTACTACAACGAGGAAGTGGACCCCATTGGGGCCCATTTGTTCGCACTTGGGGGCCCCAAATGGCGCAACTTGCGAACTAAACTCACCCCCACTTTCACTTCCGGGAAAATGAAGATGATGTTTCAGACTTTGGTCGACTGCGAAGTCAATCTAGTGAAGAAAATTGAAGCAAAGAGGAAGACACCAATTGATATTAAGGACGTTTTGGGGTGTTTCACGGCTGATATAATCGGGTCTTGTGCGTTTGGACTCAATTGCAACACTTTTGAAGAAGAGGACTCGCCGTTTAGGAAATACGGGAAGAAAGTCTTCGCTGGTTCGACACTACAACGGCTCCAAGTCTCTATTTTTATGAATTTCCCAAGACTTGCAAAGTTTTTACAAATGCGACAAATCCCCAAAGATATTGGTGATTTTTATTCCAAAGTGGTGACAGACAATGTTGAGTATAGGGAAAAAAATAATTTTACCAGAAAAGATTTCATGCAATTGTTGATCGATATGAAGAATAATAAATCAGAGGGTGATGGTAATTCTTTAACTTTGGATGAAATCACTGCTCAATGCTTCGTTTTCTTTATCGCCGGTTTTGAAACGTCTTCAACCACAATGACTTTTGCTCTCTATGAACTTTCCAAAAACCAAGAACTTCAAGAGAAAGTGAGAACTGAGATTGAGACAGTTTTGGCCAAATATGACGGCAAAATCACTTACGAGGCCATCCAAGACATGAAATACATGAATCAAGTTTTGAATGGTAATTATCTAACTTTTAGTATTTTTTTTATTTTGTTTTGTTTGTAGAAACTTTGAGAAAATATCCTCCGCTTCCATTCATCACCAGACAATGCGTCAAGGATTACAAAATCCCAGACCAAGACATAATTATAGAAAACGGGACAAGAGTCATAATCCCAATTCTTGGGATTCATTACGATCCCGAATATTATCCCAATCCTGACAAATTTGATCCTGAGAGATTTAGTGAAGAAAATGTGAAAAATCGACACAATTACGCACATATACCGTTTGGGGAAGGTCCTAGAATTTGCATAGGTTTGTTTTTTAGATCAAAATTGATAATTTTTTTGTCAAAAATTGCTTTGTAGGTTTACGGTTCGGTTTGATGCAATCAAAAGTCGGTTTAACGTCACTCTTGAGGAAATATAGGTTTAAACTGAACAAGAAAACTAAAGAACCAATCAAATTTCAAGTTAAGTCTGCCACTTTGGCAGCGGAGGGGGAGGTGTGGTTGGATGCTGAAAAGTTGTAATTGCTATTTTCTTGTGTTYAWTAAAAAAATTAAAAACAGTTATTTATTATGACTAGTAAAAGGGTATTTACTATTTAATTTTAGTTTGTACAAAAAGGTGTTGATAATAAAGTAAACTGACTGTTTCTAGAAGTTATTCTTTACGAGGATTCTTATTTATAAAACCATTGTATAGATTTTTAATTTTTTTAAATGATATATTATTTGCTTGGCATAAGTTACAGATTTTTTATTAAAAGCTTAAAGGTTAACATTTTATTTATTGAACTGTGATGTTTAAAAAATAAGATGAAAAAAACTACTCTATTACCATTACTAAATATTTCTCTACGATGTCAAAAAATTTTTGGGTAGCAAATTTTTTTCGAAAAAGTGTTCTTTGGTAAAGTTTAATACATAAGATAATTGTTGGAAAAACTATATGATATGAATAAGTTTAATAAATTCATTTTTTAATAAACCTTCTTGTAATGAACTTATTTAAATTAAATTTAACTAAAACAATAAATAAATCATAAGTTTTCACCGAAAATATTTACGAATGTTTGTCAGATTATACTTTAGACACTAAAAAATTGTTTGTCATTTCTTACASTCCTAGATCTTTTAGACTTTGCATTATCAGAATACGAAAAAACTAAAAAAAATAAAAAATTAAAAGTCACTTTAAAAAGAAAATCAAACGCAAAATACCAAGAAGCAATCCAAGGTTTTTRAGTAAAATTTAAAACACTTATGTTTTGAAAGATAATCAAGTATAACATAAGCTTGTCGAACCTAAAAAAAGTGTGAACAAAAAATAGAAAAAATTAAAATAACAAGATAATAAAATTACATTATAAAGAAAAACATTACTTTGACCTTGAAAATTTATTTTCTAAAAGATTTAATAAAGATAATTGTAAGTTTAAATTAAACTGGTCTAGAACAGGTTTAAAAAACTGGAAATTTAAAAAATTAGATTATTTTAATACTTTGACGTTTTAGTTATTTCTTTTGAATTTTATTTGAAGCTATTTATGTGATTTCAGCTGTGATCAATAAAAATTGGCTACGTCTCATTAAAATGGCTTGTTATCTCTTTAATTAAAATATATTACTATAATTTTTTCAACTCTTTTTCTTTTGGTTTTTCTTTCTGTGGTTATTCTTTTTCTTTGTTGTTTCTGTGCTTTTTGTTATTGTAATTATGTATTTTGTTTCTATATTTTAATTTTATATTTTTTCCGAGCTTAAGAGACTTAAAATATACAAAATTACCAAGTTAAAACTTGGTAACGTGGTACCCAAAGTTGAAAATAGTATATATTTTCTTGTAAGAAAAATTTTAAAATGTATTTTTATAATAGAGGAAAATAAACTAGATTTTTGAATAGAATAGTATTTTGACGTAGTAATAATGTTGATAAATTTGGATTTAAATTTCCAAATAATATGTGTGCCAAATTGCTGTGGATGGTTTAAAAACAGTGTTTTTAATAATAAGTAGTACCTAATAACGTTCTATTAAATTTAATCTTAAATATTCAAAGATAATATATGTTCCAAATTGCTATGGACCATCATGGTCACACATAAAAWTTTTTTTTGACAAAACACAGCATTTTATGATTCTTAATACTTTGTTTAAAACTGCTGTTTTTAGTAAAAGRTAAATGTTCAAACACTTTGTTTTGAGTGCGGAGAATTGCAATAAGTTTAATTAAATCAATTAAAAAGAGGTTAGGCTTCTTGAATAAAAATATTCCGTTTGATTAATTTGTAAGGAAATGTTTATTACATCCACTTTTATGTTTAGAGGTTTATTAGAAATAAAGTAGGAGTAATAAAATATTCAGTACAAGTACAACATCACATGTAGGTGAGTCAAGATTACGACCTTCCATGTCTCCTACTAGGAAAGAATTTGTCGGAATGTATCTATTTCAACTTTTCATTTTCAATTAAACAAAACAAAGGTGACTCAAAGTGACTATGAAAGACATGTCTGGTGACACAAAAATAATTAGCCAATATGACAAGCAAATTTTCTTTCATAATTCAACAGTAGTTTTCAATTTAAAAAATGGTAATCAACATCGGTAAATTAGCAACAGCGACAGGTACACAACATGATAAAAATAAAACATTTATGCTAATAYAGCAATAAAATGGCTAATTGTTACAGCCTTGGATCAGTTTTCCTGCAGTTTCTTTTGCAATCCCAAAAATGTAAAGAATTCTGAAATTGTCTTTTTCAGAAACAGAAAATTTTTCATGCTCTTGCAACCAAAAAATGGCAAAAATTCTAAAATTATGTTTTTCAAAAGCCACTCTTGACTAATTTTTTTAAAATCTTCCAATTCCAAAAATGACAAGAATTCTG